TCTACTCCTGCTGCCATACCTGTCCCTTGTTGCCATGATTTCCTGACATGACAGATTATCTCCTGGAACGCACACACACACACACACACACACACACACACACACACACACACGACTACGTGATCATTTGTTTGTTTGTTGTCTTTATATTTCTTTATTTATTCTCATGTTCAGGCTGGCCCTGAACACTTTTACTTATTTATTATTGTTTATTTCTAACAAGGTCTCACTATGTAGTCCTGGCTGTCCTGAGACTTATAGACAAGTCTGACCTGGAACTCAGAGAGAAAACAGATGACTTTGAACTCTTTGTTGTTGTTTCTTTTGGTTTTTGGTTCTTTAAGATAGGGTTTCTCTGTGTGGCCCTGGCTGTCCTTGAACCGGCAGATGCCTGCCTTTGCCTCCCAAGTCCTGGGATTAAGGGCATTTGATACTCCGCCCCACTTTTTATTGTTTTATTCAAACTCTTTATGTAGCCAAGGATATCCTTTAACTTCTGATCCGTGTGTCTCTTGGATTACAGGCACCTGCTTAGTTTTTGCAGTGCTGGGGAGCAAACCGAGAATTTCCTGAACACAAGGCAAACACTCTGCCAAGCACTGGTACCAATGAGCTGCATCCCCAGCCTGCTTGTTCATTGTTTTTAGAAATTATGTAGTCTAGGTTGGCCTTGAACTGGAAATCCTCTTGCTTCAGACACCCTGATTCTAGGATTACAGGCCTATGTCACCTTTGTGACACACCATACTACAGACAGTGAAAAGAAAACTCCATCATTGCTGGGTGGGGGAGGAGGTGGGAGGGTGGGTGGTACTAAGTGTGTGAGGGTGGTGCTCACGCCTTTAATCCAAGCATTCTGGAGGCAAAGGCAGGTGGATCTTCGTGAGTTCCAGGCCAGTCTGGTCTACAGAGCAAGTTCCAGGACAGTCAGGGCTGTTTCACAGAGAAACCCTGTCTTGAAAAACAGCAAAAACATACATTAATGAGTGTACTCTTCCTACCTCCAATCCCCACAGAGAGAGAGAGAGAAAAAAAGAAAGAAACAAAAAACAACCTCACAAAGCAAGAATAGCAATAAATACGCCAAATTAAAAGACAATATAGTTGGTGGCACATGCCTGTAATCCCAGCACTTGGGAGATAGAGGCAGGAGAATGAGGAGTTCAAGGCCACCCTCAACTACATAAAACCCTGTATCCAAAAACAAAAACAAAACAAAACAAAACAAAAAATAAACAAAAAACATAATGCAAAATGTGGAAAAATATTTGAAATTTTAGTCACAAAAAACTAAGCCACCTATGAAACTTCCTAGAAATAAGCAAAACTGTGCTACAAATCTGATGGCACAACAGAAAAACAAGCAAAGGTTATAAAAGACCATACATAGAAATGCAGTGAGCTTTAAATATAGAGAGACGTGTCTAACCTCATTTTTTAAGATAAAAGTAACTGGAAACGCTTTCACTAGGAGTTTATCAAAAAAGCTAACCCTTTGAAACCACTCCTTAGGTGAGGGAACGAGGGAAATAGGAGAACAGTGAGGAATAGTCTCCACGGGGAGTAATTTGACAATTATCACTCAAAACTCTAAATGCATGACTTGTTGTGCTGCAAACTGCAATCCTAAGAATTTACCTAAAAGGTTAAGTGCAAAATGACATGCATAAACCAGGTGGTGGTGGTGACAGCGGCACACACCTTTAATTCCAGCACTCTAGGGGCAGAGGCAGGAGGATCTCTGTGAGTTTGATGCCAGCCTGGTCTACATAGCAAGTTCCAGGACAGGCTCCAAAGCACAAAAAAAAAAAAAAACCTTTTTTAAAAAAAAAAAAAAAAAAAAAAAAAAAAAGACATTGATAATAGCTATTATACATTTGTAATCACAAAATTACTTCAAAAAACCTGAATGCCCATTCAGAGGACTGGATAATTAATATATGTTTTATGCCAGGTGGTGGTGGTGCACACCTTTAATCCCAGCACTCAGGAGGCAGAGGCAGGGGAATCTCTTGAGTCTGAGACCAGCCCGGGCTATAAGAGCTAGTTCCAGGACAGCCTTCAAAGCCACAGAGAAACCCTGTCTCAAAACAAACAAACAAACAAAAAATTAATATACAGTTTATTTATTCAATGGGATAGATACTACCATGTTATGAACAAATAAAAAAGAGTGACATGAAGTGGTTCTCTGTGAAGTGAGACCTTCAAGTTATTAAGGTGGGGGTAAGGCTGGGGTACTGTCCTACTCCTTCAGTCCTAGCCCTAGGTAGACAGAAGCTTAACGGATCTTTGTGAGTTCCAGGACAGGCTACAAAGCAAGTTCCAGACAAGCAAGGACTATAAGTAAGATCCTGTCTCAAAATAAATAAATAAATATTAGAGGAAAAGCAAGATGAGGAACAGTGTATAGAGAGAAGAAGAAGAGGAAGAAGAGGAAGAGGAAGAAGAAGAAGAAGAAGAAGAAGAAGAAGAAGAAGAAGAAGAAGAAGAAGAAGAAGAAGAAGAAGAAGAAGAAGTTGTTCACACATGAAGAAACTCTGGGGCTTGGACTCTTTATACTCACAGTGAAGTGGAGCCTGTGGGAACCTAACTCTGGGAGATGCCTTAAATGGGACACTTTGTTGAAAATGTTGCAGATAGCAGGGCAGTGATGATGCACACTTTTAATCCCAGCACTGGGGAGGCAGAGGGAGGTGGATCTCTGAGTTCCGAGTTCGAGGCCAGCTTGGTCCAGAGTGAATTCAGCAAGGGCCACACAAAGTAACCCTGTCTCCACCCCATTCCCACCCCTCCCTTCCCCTGCAAAAAGAAATGAGAAGATGTTGCAGATATTTTCTGTTGTTTCAAGCTTGTCTATTTGAAAAGTTAAGTTTGGGGCAGAAGAAGAAGCCTTGCGGCAGGGAACAAGCACAAAGCCCCAGATTTGATCCCCAGCCTAGTTAAAATAAATAAATAAAAAATCCACCCAGTCAATCAGGACTGGAGAGATGATTCAGTGGTTGAGAACACTGCTGCTTTTCTAGAGGCCCTAGGGTTTGGTTCTCAGAACCGTTGTTAGGCAGCTCACAACTGTCTGTAACTCCAGTTCCAGGGTACCCAATAAATACCCTCTACTGACCCTGGTTTAATAAAAAGCTGGACGTGAATAGCTAGGCAGGGTTTCTAGGCACAGAGGACACTGGGACAAAGAAGGGAGGAGACACAGAGAGTCAGAACAGGGAAGACATGCAGGAGGAGAGGTAACAGCCAGGAGCCAGGACTAATAGAAATGTGATAATTTAAATTATAAAAGCTAGTTAGAAGCAAGTATAAGCTATAAGCCGAGCTTTCATAATTAATAATTAAGTCTCCATGTCATTATTGGGGAGCCGATGGTGTTAAGTTTTTGCTTAAATTAGAAATTGAGAGATGAACACGAACTATAGAGAGTACATTAACCAGTTTATTATAGGGCAGGAGAGCTAGAGGGGGAGAGGAGAGAAATGGAAGAACAGAGCAGGGGAGAGAGAGAGAGAGAGAGAGAGAGAGAGAGAGAGAGAGAGAGAGAGAGAGAGAGAGAGGAGAGAGAGGAGAGAGGAGAGAGAGGAGAGAGAGGAGAGAGAGAGAGAGCTAAGTGAAGAGAGCGTAAGGGGGGGGGTCTGTCTTTTAAAGAGGTCCTTTGCACCTTCATGCAGATTTGGTTCCCATGGAACCCTGGGCTGACCAGGGTACTGCCTGAGTGGATTCTGCCAGGTAATAGAGGCAGGCCAGCATAATGCCTGAACCTTTCAGATGGTCCTGATGAAAACGTCCAGCTACAGGTTTTTTTGTTTGGGGGTTTTGTTTGTTTGTTTTTGCTTTTCAAGACAGGGTTTATTTGTGTAACAGCCCTGGCTGTCCTGGAACTCACTCTGTAGACCAGGCTTGTCGCAGACTCACAGAGATCTGCCTGCCTCTGCCTCCTGAGTGTTGGGATTGCTCCACCATGCCCCATGTTATTTTAAAAATAACAATTATTTTTAAAAATTCAGCCAGCCTGTGTAGTACACACCTATAATCCTAGCACAGAACCAGTCTCAACTGAGGTCAACCTGCACTGAAGATCCTCCTGACTCAGCTTCTTGAGTGCTGGAATTACAGGTGCTTGCTGTCATATTCAGTTTGGGTAGGATGACGACAGTCTTCGGAAAAGGTGAATTTTCACAACTAGTGACGTTTTGTATTTTGTGACATTGCATTTTACAGGGCCCTCTAATCTGCTTCTTGTCCCTCAGTCTTGTTTCCCCAGTGAAATCACTAGCTCTCCATTCTGGAGTGTTTAGCCAGAGACCCAAGGATACCTGAGGACAAGTGGTGGAGTGATGAGGCCTCTTGGGCTTTCGTTTCCTTTCATCGCAGCCACTTAAGATTTCCACTTCTTCCTTTCAAGTAAACTAAAATATTAGAGCAAAAGGACAAGCGAACATAATTGGACCTTCTAAGAGTGAATCTTTAGACTTAAAAAAAAAAGGGCAGTTTCCATTTTATTGATGAAAATGTGTTTGCTTTCTACTCAGTCAATTACCCATTGTACGTTGGATGGCATTTTCTGGTTCGAATGACTGTCTGTAAAACACCAACATTTAAAAATCTTTTTCCTCCACTTCTATTTCAGTGTCGACAACTCCATTAGAATCTTTGAGTCGGTGCTTTTCGAGCCGAAGGTAGCTCAGCCGAGATGTTTGGTTTTGCTTCTCTTTATGAGCAGCGTCGTTTTAAAAAAAAAAAAAAAATCACTCAGAGGACAAAAGAGAAAAAGGATAATTGAATGTGTGCTGGGCTTGCTGGGGTGGGAGGCTGGGCGCAGGATTCTGAAATACTCCCGCCAAAAGCCGGAGTGGGCTCTCGGCCTCCCCTCTGAGATGCAAAGCCGCCTTTGACCGGCCTCCGGCGGGGCGCGTGGCTCCCCCTGCAGGACGGACGGAGAACTGCTATGAGAGACGTTCCAGCCTCGTGCTGCTTTAAAGGGCTGGGGACTGCTGCGCTCGGCTCGCCTGCTCGCCGCTTCCGGGCTGACAGTCTGGGCTGCACGCAGTGGCGGGCCCGGGAGCCTGAGAAGATGACTAGGAGTGTCTGAACCCCAGGGTTCAGGCTGGAGAGCCGGTTCCTGACTGCACGGGAGACGCCCTCGCTCAGGACACAGTTCAAAGGTGGCTTCCCTCGGTTTTTGTCTCTATTATCCCACTGCCTTTTCTTCTCCTGACCTCGGCTTACTTTTAAAAATTATCCGGAACGCTGTTTGTGCAAGTTATCTGAGATAAGTAATTTAAACTGCCTGGGACTCAGTTTTTCTCTCTTTTTTTTTCTAATAATACTAAAATTACAACTCTTAAAAAAAAAGCATTTGGTGATATCTTATAAAATTCAGTGTGTGTTTACTCTGCGCTCAGAATAACACCTGAGTATTTATTCAGAAGAAATTAAAAATTTATGTCCATGTTCAGAGTAGTGTAATAATACCTAAAGACATTAAAGCCAAATGCCGGTCAACAGGTAAGAACACAACAAACTGATACATTTGTGTAGTGGAGTACCACTCTAGTAATTTAGGATATATATCAGAATGCTGATTCTTTGACTGTTGTGGATAGAAAGGAACTTTCTGGAGCAGTGGAAATGTTCTGTGTCTTGACTGTCACGATGGTTATGTGAGTTCATATACTTGTTAAAAACTAGAAGATTTGTGCATTTCAATACATGTACATTTTAACTTTAAATATCTTTGTTTTGGGACCAGGTCTTGTCATGTAGCTTAGGCTGTCCTTGAACTCCTCCTGTGTCTACCTTCCCAGTACTGAGAATACAGTAGTACACCAAAAATATTTTTGAAAAATAATAGTAACCATCTCACAGGTCCTTGTAATGATTGTGTTTTATGTTTATGTAATATGCTTATGTAATATGTTTGGAGAACTGGGGAGATGGCTCAGTGGGAAAAGGGCTTGCTTTGCTAGCATAAATTCAATCCCAGAATCCAGGTTTTAAAATGAGTATTTGCCAGGCAGTGGTGGCACACACCTTTAATCCCAGCACTCTTGAGGCAGAGGCAGCCAGATCTCTATGAGTTTGAGGCCAGCCTGGTCCACAGAGTGAGTTCCAGGACAACCAAAGCTACACAGAGAAACCCTGTCTTGAAAAAAAAAAAAAAAAGCAACAATAAAATAAAATAAAATAAATGAGTGCTTATAATGCCCCTTGCTGGAGAGACAGAGACAGGGGGACTCCTGGGGTTCACTGGCTGTCCAGCCTAGCCTCCTTATCAACCCAGGGAGGGACCTTGTCTTAAAACAATAAGGTGGATAGCTCCTGAAGAACAATACTGTGTGCACTGGTCTCCACCTGTGCACACACATGCACACACACAAAATTAAGATATAGTGTGTGGAACCTAGATGCCACTATACAAGTTTCTGCATCATGCTTATATGCACTTATATATAATACTTATAGTTAGCCCAAAATCTGAGACTTGGAGAAAGACTTCACAATTTAAAGTACTACATGTCAGAAATTTCCATGAAAGAAATCCCCAGTGGGAAAGGAGGACTCTCTCTACCACTGTCTTAACCTCAAAAAGGTTGAGAGACTCAAATGGGGCCACATACTTACATTTGTATTTGAACAATGTAAAGGAATACAGATGTGTATAATTAGGTTATTCAGCTTACCTTTCTGACATAATTTCTTTTATGTTGTTGGCGATTATAATTTTATTTATTTATTTATTTATTTTGGTTTTTCGAGACAGGGTTTCTCTCCATAGCATTGGAATCTGTCCTGGAACTCATTCTGTAAACGAGGCTGGCCTCAAACTCACAGAGATCCACCTGCCTTTGCCTCTGTGCTAGGATTGAAAGTGTGCTCCACTACTGCCCGGCTGACTATAATTTTTAGACAGGGTCTCACTGTGTAGTGGAGACTGGCCTCAAGTTCACAATTCTCCTATTTCAGACTCTCATATGCAATTTTATGCCTGACCTAATATAATTTCTATGTCTGAGAAACATTGCTTCAAGTCCAAATGCCAAAGAGTCACAGAATTTAGCAAGGGACAGCACATGCTCTATTGGTGTGGAACCCACATCTTCAGTGATCATTGCCCACAGATGCATCAAGGACATTGCACTTGATGTGGCTTTTCAATCTGACCCTCTGCAGTGCCTTGTAGAGGGAAAGGAGGTTGACTGCCTGAATGGGCCTGCTAGTTCTGTCACTTGCTCCATGTGAAATTCAGGAACTTACTTAACCTTCCTAAGCCTTAGTTGCCTTACTGCAAAGCAGGAATAATTCCTACCTCATGGGGCTTTCTAGGCTAGTTGGAGGGAGAAACTATGTGTTGGGGGGGGCACACTGGAGCTGAGGAGAAAGCTCAGTGGGTAAAGTATTTGCTGTGTTAGCGTGAGGACTACAGTTCAAATCCTCAGTGCTCACCAGCAGTATTTGTAACCCCAGCCCTGGGCGGATCCTCAGGATTTACTGGTCAACCAGTCTAGTTAAAATGGTCAAGTTCAGTAAGAGGCCGTCTCAAAAACAAGGTGAGGGCTGGTGAGATGGCTCAATGGTTACAGGCTGTAGCCATCAAGCCTGAGTACCTGAGTTTGATTCCAGGACCTATGTGTTAGAAGGAGATGGGTGATTCCCACAAGTTGTCCTCTGACTTCTACAAGTGTGAGTTTGTGTGCACATACACACAAACACAAACAAATAAATGCAATAAAAAATAAGGTGGAAAGCAATAAGGAAAGACACCTACATTGATTTCTGGCGTGCACGTGCACAGATGGCTATGCACATCCGCGTACAGGTACAGAAAGAAAGAGAAGGAGGGAGAAGGGGGTTGTTGTTGACTAACTGTAGAAGTGAATGCTGGTGATGAGACTGCTGAGCAGGCTGCCTGGCGTAGGCAAGTGTGCATTCCTGTGAGCAATCTAGGAGATGCAATACCTAGCCACGCCTCTCTGCATGGACAACGCCGGAAGATGTGGCAAACCGGGTGGAAGGTCTTGGAGCGTGCAGCAAAGGGTAGGCAAAATTCAGAGGCTGCTCAAATAAAGAGTCGGTAAGAAACAGCCAAAAAGCCAAAATGGGAAGAACTTCCTGGAAGAATGAAGTTGCACCCTCTGCCCTATGTGTAAATCTCCTTTCTTTGCGCTCCTCTAGAAGCCCTCCATGAAATCCACGTGATCTGCTAAAGCGCTTGTGTAAGTGGATTTCTAGGGAGGAGTGGGAGAATTACCGAGCCCTGCCTTGAGGGGCATAGTCAGGAAAGTCAGGTTGCAAACACCCACATCTGCCTTACTCTGAATGTGTCTGGCACAGTCCTGGGTTCGGGGTATGTGTTTAATGAGTGACAGACATTTTAGGTTGCGCCTCGTGTGCACGTGTGTACGTGTTCTGGCAAAGAAAACTGCTTGGTTCCTGCTGTGGGTTCACGTTAGTGCCCCGGCGCAAGTGTTTGTATAATAACAAAGGGGTCCTTGCGCCTTCTGGTGGGCACTTGTGTGGTGGGGGATACGGCAATAGTGGGCTCACCGGCACAAATGTTTGTATAATGACAAAGGGCTCTTTGCGCCTTCTGGTGGGCGCTTGTGCGGTAGGGATGCGGTTATAGTGGGCTCCAGTTCTACCTCCCTACAGACCGGAAAAGCTCCCTCTTTTGGACACAAATGATTCTCTGCCACTCTCCACTCCGCTTCACGCCGGTATTAACAGGCGCCGGGCGAGCAGCAAGCAGCTGTCCCTCCCCGCGGGGACCGCGTCACTCCTTCTTGTGGCTTCTCGCCCACGCT